ATTTCCAGAGGTAGAATGGGAGTGCAACCAGGTTATAAATAATCCAGTCACCAACAAACAGATGGAATGGGCTGGATCTTTTGGATCACTGTGCCCTGGGCTGGCTGATCAGACCACACTGTCCCCAGCCAGCTGCTCCAGGTTGTGGTGCCACAGGTCGTTTGTCACCGAGCAGCCTCAGCTCTTGGGACCTGCCAAATTTTGGAGGGGGCTCACAGAGGGCTAGGCTCTGCCCCTGGGCATTGCATGGGGTGAATTTATGCAGAAATTGCTGGTTTAAAATCAGAGTCTCCAGGAGGCAAAGGTGTTTTCTATGAGAAAGCAAAGATAATTTGGGGATTAGAATAAGCTGGAATGGACTATGCCACTTTTTACAAGGTGCCACAACACCTGTAGATGGACAGGAAATGCTTGGGGCCCCCAGAACATCATCATGGGCATTCCACAAGGCTGCTCAGACCATCCCTGAAATTATTCCCTTTATGCCTCTCATGGTTTCAAAAATGGGCCTGTTTTCCCCATAAAGGACAAAATTCCCATTTAAAGGGCTCAGTCACATATATGTTGTGTTTGACCCCAAGGACATCCATATCCTACACCCACCAGGAGGAATGTTACCACCCCACTGTGCCTGGGCTGTCCCCCCTTCCCTGGAGCACTCACAGCTCTTTTGCAAAGCAGTGGGCAGCTGTTAAAATCCACAGTGCACTGATGATGGTGCCACCACAGATGTGCTTCCTGTGGCTCTGGATGCTCACGTGCCACGGGAACTCCCCCGGCTGCACGGACCTCCCTGTCCCGATCCTCTTGCCTGTCTCCAGGAAGGACTCAAAGGATGGTCGGAGGCCACACTCTGGGGACAAAACGAGACACGTGGGACATGTCCAACAGTGCCACTGCCTGTGCAGCTCAGCTGGAGGGGCAGGACAGCATGCAGAGCAGTGATCTGTAATATGTGTGAAATCATGGAATGGTTTGGGTTGGAAGAGACCTTAAAAACCATCTCATTCCACTCCCTGCCATGGGCAGGGACACCTTCCACTATCCCAGGTTGCTCCAAACCCTGTCCAACCCAGTCTTGGACACTTCCAGGGATCCATGGGCAGCCACAGCTTCTCTGGGCAACTTGTGCCAGGGCCTCACCACCCTCACATCCAGGAATTCCTTCCAGTATCCCATCTCTCCCTGCTCTCTGGCAGTGGGAAGCCACTCCCTGTGTCCTGTCCCTCCATGCCTTGTCCAAAGTCCTTCTCCAAATCTCTTGGAGCTCCTTTAGGCACTGGAAGGGGCTCTCAGGTCTCCCTGGATTCTTCTCTTCTCCAGGTGAACCCCCCCAGCTCTCCCAGCCTGGCTCCAGAGCAGAGGGGCTCCAGCCCTGGGAGCATCTCCGTGGCCTCCTCTGGACTCTCTCCAGCAGCTCCACATCGTTGTGCTGTTGTTCCCCAGACCTGGAAGCCGCTCTGCAGGTGGGGACTCACAAGGGTGTAGGCTGAGAATCCCCTCCCTTGACCTGCTCCATGATCTCCTGATGTCTCTGTCCCCTCCCCAACCCCGCACTCTGCCAAGCACTGCCCAGGCAGTTTGGGGGTGGGCAGGACCACAGACCATTTCCCACAGGCAGACTGAATAAAATCCTTCTTTGGGGAGTGGAAGGTTCAGCATCAGGCTGAACAAGGCCACGAGGTCCAAGGAGCAATCCCAGGCCTTTTTCCCTTACCCACATGTGCATATCCTGCAGGACCACCGGCAGCACCGGCAATGCCGATCAGAGACGTTAAACAGGAGAGGACGAGGAGCAGCATCTCAGTCCATCTTGGAACAACGCTCTTCCCCAAGATTCAGAGCAGTGATGCCTCTGCAGATGCTTCAGAAGTGCCTGCATTCCATGTCAACACGGCTCCCTGCCAGGGTGTGACATCACAGCATCTCGTGTTCCTGTTGACAGGGCAATTGGATGTCGCCCTTCCTAAGGCCAAAGGGCATCAATGTTCCCTGAGGGAAAGCTCCATGATTTCCATGTTTGTGATTTCCTTTAGTTCTGGCAGGGATAGGGCAGCAGGAATTTCTTCCCAATCTCCCATCTCTCCCTGCCCTCTGGCAGTGGGAAGCCATTCCCTGTGTCCTGTCCCTCCATTCCTTGTCCTCAGTCCCTCTCCAGCTCTCTAGGAGCCCCTTTAGGCACTGGAAGGGGCTCTCGGGTCTCCCTGAAGCCTGGAGGCAGTTCCTGACTGGATCCTGGACTGACCTCACAGGGTGTGGCAATAGTGGGTTTGGTTTGCTGGGTGTTGTAGCCCTTTCTGGATCTTGAACCACCTTTGAAGACCTTAGATGCTGGTCCTGCATCAGCTTCCATCTTCAACTATGATAAATGCTGAATTCTATCAAACTCTTAATTTTATCTCCACTTAGACTGTGCCTGGGGCACTTATTTGTTTGTACTCAAACAGGACCATGTTGTCCCATCCCTGGAAGTGTCCAAGACCAGGTTGAATGGGGTTTGAAGCAACCTACGATAGTGGAAGGTGTCCCTGCCCATGGCAGGGGGTGGAACTTGGTGATTTTTAAGGTCCCTTCCAACCCAAACCATTCTGTGTTTGCAGAAGAAAGGGGAAGCTCTGTCACAGAGCGAATTTCAAATGGTGCCAAATCAAAAGTTTCCTATCAGAGACGTTGAGGCAGCCACTCCCTTCTTCCCTGTGGACAAGGATGGCTCACAGGGCTAAATCCAGCTTAAAATAATAATCCATGAGGCTGAATAAGCATCTCACCTTTACTGATCACAACCCTCATAGTCTTTGTTCCTTTAGCAGCAACTGCAAGGGGTCAAGGCCAAAACTCCACCCCACAGTAACTCCAGAAATAAGTTCTGTGGTGGCAAAATGTTTTGGTGTGGGCCAATTTTAGCATCAGGGGACCCATCTAGGCTGATTTCTACACCGACACATCATTTCCATCAGGACAGGACTTAAAAAAAAAACCTCAACCAGGTTCAGACTTGAGCATATCTGTATTAAGGACAGAAAGTTACTTTTCCCCAAGACTTTCCAGCTTGTTTCAAAACAATAACACAGAGTAGGAGGGGAGGGAGGGGAATTTTATAAGCCCCCAAATGATTCAGAAATGTTTTGCCTCGGAGCAAATCAGGAGTTATCCCACTGAAATCCCAATTACCAATGCACAGGATGAAAGCAATACTTTATTTTCCTCTCCTCTTTGCTTCTCTGTCACCTCATGCCAAGGAAATGAGACAGAATTTGGTTGGTTACCTTGGCAGTGAGCACTGGAACAACTACATGGCACGACACATTAAGGACAGGATCAGTTGCCACAGCAACTAGAAATCCCCAGTGGGATGTGGGCACATTTTGGGGCATCTCCAGAAGAGCCTAACATGCCAGAGGCAGCTCCTTTGAGCATTTCCCAGGACTAAAAGGACTGCTTTCCTCTGGATTTTGAGACTGGAATAGACTCAACATCAGCTGAGCAGCAAGGGAAGATGGGGAGTTAATTTTTCTGGCACAGACTCACTGTCCATCTTTGGGTAAAGCAGGAGGGGCTTCAGCAATGGATTTACAAGCCCAAACTGACTCTCTGATTCCCACTTTCAGTCCCTCCAAGTTTGGAGGGCGATGTGGTCTGCTGGGTAGGTACAGGAGATGTTCAGGAGCTGGTTTGGGCCTTTCTGAGCCTAAAATATGAGTTGGAAACATCAAACCAAGATATGGAGAGGAGTGCCCTGGAGAGTTCAGCAGGAGGAAATGCTGGGAATTTGTGTCTCTGGGTCCCAACTGTCTGGCCCTCAAAAATGAGCTTTGTGAGCCCAGAATGGATGGATCAAGGTGGGCTCCTACAAGCTTTACCTAAAAAGAACATCTGCAAGCGGACACATCATTGGCACATGTTCTTCAAACTCAGTGATCAAAACAACCTCCAAAAAAATTAGGGAACACATGAGAGGCCCAAGCTCATGCTTCCCACTGGGAAGTATTACGGGCAGCAATACGGATGGGACAAACCAATTCCCACCCTCCTAAGGAAGCTGTTTGTCCTAGGATATTCCACAGCATGGAGTGATAGAATAGCCTGAGTTGGAATGGACCCCCAAGGATCATCAAGACCAACTCCTGGCCCTGCACAGGACAGGCCCAACAATCCCCACTGTGTTCCTCAGAGTTGCCCAAGCACTCCTTGACCTCTGAGCCCCCAGGATCCCATATCCATTTTCTCCCCAGTATTCCATCTAACCCCATCCTCTGGCAGTGGGAAGCCATTTCCCCTTGTCCTGTCCCTCCATGCTCTTGTTAATATGCACAATATTACAGATTTCAAAGTCCTGGTGTTTAATTAGCAAACTGCAGCCTTTTATAATATTTGATATTGGTTTTTAGATCTACCCAGATATACTTGGAACACACCACAGACAATATTTTTCTCTTCTTTTTCTGTAATTTATTGCAGTGCAGGAAACAAAACTGATTTCTTTTTGTTTTGGAACTGTCAAGAAGCAACACTTTACAATCTGGACTTTCTCTTACTAAGATTATTTCAGAAAACAGGCACTAGAGGTGATCCTAGAAAGCAGAGTTGTGGGACAGTTACTGATCTTATCAACTTATCAATCATTCCCAAAGACACCAAATTACAAGGTGGTGATAGTTAAAGAGCCCAACCATGTCTCCAGAAGTCAACGCTCTCAAAACCCCCGCAAATTCATCCACCCAAGGAAATCAACGTTTCTGAAGGCATGAGCTGTGCAAAAGCAGTTAGGGATGCAACCACCTCCGAATTCCTCCTTTTAACAGCACTTGGAGCCGAACTTTGAGAAATTTGAATCTCTTTCCACCTCTCCAGATTCTGAGGAGACCCTGTGAGCTCTCTAGAGTAAGAAGCTGTGTTGGTAATTTCTGCCTCTACTCTGGCTTTTAATGTCGATGAAGGAGAAGCTGCTCCGATTACGGAAAACTTCCCCAACAGATTCCCAAATCTTTATGCTCTGATGATGTGGATGCACTGGAGCATCTACCAGGGTTGATGGTCTTTTCCCAAACTCCCTAAATAAAAATTTTTGCCTCTACTTTGGTCTTTATTGCCGATGAATGCGAAGTTGCTCCGATCACGGAAAACCTTCCCCAAGAGATTCCCAAATCTTGACGCACTGATGCTGTGGATGCGCTGGAGCATCTACCACGGTCCATGGTCTTTTCCCAAACTCCCTAAACCAAAGTGGAGGTGGTGGAGCAAGCACAGGTTATTTCTTGAGGCCGATGGGGCAGGAAATCCCCGTCCCCCCCAGGCCGCAGTATCCGCCGGGATTCTTGCTGAGGTACTGCTGGTGATAATCCTCGGCATAATAAAACTCGGGAGCCTCCCGGATTTCCGTGGTGATGGCACCAAAGCCTCCCTCCGTCAATACCTGTCAGGAAAGATGATGAAAAGCCATTAGTGGTTTGCTGGCTGCTCTGCTGATGAATGACATCGGGTTTCCTCCCAGAAGGAGCCACAGGCATCTCTACTGGATCCCATTTGCAGCACATCCCTGAAAGCTCTTTATCCCTGCTCTCCTGTTGTTTTGCTTGGAGACTTTGCAGGCTCCAGGGCAGGCACTGGTGAGGCCCCAGCCCCTCTTAATGGCTCATTTGGTTAATTTGCTGTGGCCACACATTTATCCTCTTTATTAACCCTGCCAGGGTATTTCAACAAGAGTGGAAAACAAATGTGAGAGCACGCTTTGATCCATACTGGCCGTGCCTTGCAGTGCCCAAAAACCTCACCTGGCAGGTGCCTCAGCTTCAAAATGTGTGACCCACTCCCCATATCCTCATGCCAACAAGAATTTCTGGGTGAAATTTTAACCCCACTGGGAAATCAGAGCACTGGGGATTTGTTCATAGAGTTGCTGCATCCCCTTTCTTCAAAAAGACCAGTTCCATCCTGACCAGAAAGGCAGTTTTAAGGCAAATTGTGGCTCATTTCAGAAAGATTTGCCAACACATGGACCAAGAGCAATAATCACTTTGCAGGGAGAGAAGACAGAATGTGGGTGAGGATTTTAAATTTAACTTTAATTTCTTTCTGATCTCTCCTAACTGAGTTTGGAACTCCAGGGAGGTTTCTGACAGAGGGAATTTCTTTTTAAGATAGATTGCTGTGGCATTTTCCCTACTGCATTGTCCTTTTCTAAGGGAAATGGTAAACACCAACTTTTTGGAGCCAATTCTTATCTCAGTGGGGACATAACTTGTGCTCACTGAAGTCAACACAAACTTAATGAGCACTTTAATTAGTGTCAGGCTCCTGTTGAAAATGATATTTTTTAAGTACTGGATGTAGATAGAACTGATTGCAATCAGCCAGATTGACAGTAAGATCAACTGTAAGCAAGAAGGGTCAGCATTGAGGCTTACCAGAAAAATACGTGTTATAATGCTAATAAATAAACCAAATATAGGGAAATCATAACATGGAACCACAAAACAGAGCTGGTTATACACCATCAAATCCAACTTCTTTCATCATGACAGAATGGATGATAGTTCCTTGATCCCAACAAACATTGGTTATGAAAGATCTTTGGAGGTGGGGATCCTCCAGTTTCCTAAAGGAGACCATTCCAATATTTTCCACCCACTTAGAGAGTTTCTCCAGTTATACCCACTACTTTAATTTAAACCCACTGTTTTCCTTGTGCTCATCATGGATGTGGGAAGGAAATCGTTCCCTTCCTCTTTACGGTGCTCTTCTACATCCTCAACTGGGGATGGAGAAAGATGACATGCAGTGGGAATAATGGAAAAATGCCAGCTGGCACTTAAATAACAGGATCAAAAAGTCCCAAATTTGGGACCAAAAAGTCTTCAAATTTCCCACAGCAAGGTTCCCCAGATCCTGCCTCAGCATAGCTAAGCCCTGACAACACCCTGACTGCAGCTCCTGGACTTTGCAGAGCATTAGTCTGATTTATTCCCATCATTTCACTGTCTGGAGGATTCATTTTGCTGTATGTAGTTTTCAAAATCTGTGACTGACCTGTCTGGAGAGCTCCTGAGTTCCCAACCTCACACCTAAATTCTCAGCCCAGCTTTGGAAGAAGTTGACAAGCTAATTAATTGTGTTTGAACACAGGGTGGAGGGGGGGGTAACAAGCCAAATTTCACAGGAATCTGCCCTTATTTCCCCATGTAAAATCACCAAACAGTGTTTTTCATCTCTGGGATACACTTTGTCCCAAGAGAATCAGGTTATTTACCTGTCAGACCTGTCAGTGAGGAAGATAAAAACCAGGAAGGTTCGTATCACAACACGTCGGCAACAAAGAACTCGAAGAGGTGTCAACACAACTGCTTCTCTAAAGCACCATTTCACTTACTTTCCAACCTTCCCAGCAAAGAAAAACACTTTTGAAATTATCTTCACTCCAGAAAGATGGCACAAATTCTGTCATCATGGGCATTAGTCATTCCTTGCTGCTGCAAATCCATGCAAAATTGGTTCTCCCCCTTAACTGAGTCATGAGGATGCGGCTGGAGGGGGAGAGATTTTTCCACTTTGCAAAACAGTATTTGTTACACATTTTTTTTTACCTGGGACTTTTCCATCACTGGCCTCATTTTGTCAGTTGGGGAAGCCATTCCGTTCGATAATGTACCACAAGGGGGCATAAACAGCATTTATCCCTTTCACAATCGCCAGCACTCTCTGTTAAAACACCCAGTAAAGCAGAAGCCCAAGACGACTCATTACATTGCACTTCGGTCATTAGCAAAAGATTCCAGCCCCGTCGTCAGAAGCAGTGGGAACCCCAGGCTCCTACAACTCTGCCAAACACCTGGAATGTCTGGATTTTAAAGGGGAAAATATTTTCCTCGCCCTGACTGTGTCGACTGAAGATAAAAACAACCCTGGGAAAGGTGGTGAAGTTCACGATGTGCTGGCTCTGGCATGTGTAAATCAGCTCACTCTGGGTTGATCTCCTGCCACTGAGGCAGGATTTTCTAATAATAAATATAATTTGATGATAATCCTGTTCTGGAAGAATTTTTAGCCCTCACTCTCTCAAAATTCTGGAGCCATCAGACAGGACCTCCCATTACTGAGCTGCAATTAACCCTTTTACTCGGTGCAAGAAATTTTTAAGGAGCTATTGGATCATTTCCTCTCTCCAATATTCCACTGCAATTCAAGGAGAACTCATTCATTCAAAGGATTTTTGTTGGTTTTGTCACAGGGGAGATCATGCAATCACATTTATGTTGGAAAAGCCCTCTAAGATCACTGACTCAAATTGTTAACCCAGCACTGCCAAGTGGCTACAAGACCACAGTGATCCTTTAACTTCTTATAATCCATCCCAAGACCCCTGTCAGGTTCTGAAAGTGAGGGGCCAAACAAACTAGAACCCAAAGCTCACCCAGCTGCAGAGGGGACATGGCCAGTTTGGGACACTGGGAGAGGTGCTGGAGCAGGAACACAGAATCATACAATCACTGAGGTTGGAAAAGACCTCCAAGCTCATTGACATGTCCAAGCCAGTGCTGAGAACTTCAGCACAACTAGTTTTTTAAACCACTTGTCCTTTCAGCGTGTAAAAGATGATGTGTTTGATGATTTTCTTAAATTGTTATAGACTATGAAAGTTTATGTCCTATTGTTTGCTTTAAAATTCTTGCTTAACCACTGGATGACCAGAGGATGTTGTCACATCCTCTGGCACAAAGATAGAGTCGTAGAATGGTTTGGACTGGAAGAGACCTTGAAAGCTTCTCATTCTACCCCCTGCCATGGGCAGGGACACCTTCCACTAGCCCAGGTTGATCCAAGACCAATCCAACCTGGCCTTGGACACTTCCAGGGATGGGGCAGCCACAGCTTCTCTGGGCAACCTGTGCCAGGGCCTCACCACCCTCACAGCCAAGAATTTCTGTAATAATCCCATCTAATATCCCATCTAACCCTGCCCTCTGCCAGTGAGAAGCCATTCCCCCTTGTCCTGTCACTCCAGGTCCTTGTAAAAAGTCTCTCTTCATCTTTCTTGTGGACTCCCTTCAGGTACTGGAAGGCCACAATTAAGTCATCCCAAATCCTTCTCTTCTCCAGGCTGAACAATCCCAATTCTCTTGGCCTTTCTTCACAGGAGCGGGGTTCCATCCCTCTGATCATCTTGGTGGCCTCCTCATATAATTCCTTATTCACTCCCTTGATTTTACACCTTAATCTTGCTCATTCCTGCCTTCAGCCAGATCCACAGGCTTCATCTCCCCATTCCATAACCCAGCTCGCCCCCCCCTCCCGTTTTCTGCATCCCTTCCAGTTCCACGTCACCGCTGCTTTCACTGGGATGACTGGAATTACACTCTGTTCAAGAGCAGCACCACAGATTTATTGTACTTACATTTTCCTTTTTATTCTCCCTCTCTTTCCCAGTAATTCTTAGCATTCCACTTGCCTTCCTGACCTCTGCTGAGCACGGAGCAGATGTTTTCCAAGAACCATCTGCAGTGACGCCATCACCTCCTTCGCGGGCTAATTTAAACCCTGTCATTGTGCCTGCACTTGACTTTTATCCACATGGAATTTCAGCAGCTGTTTGATTGCCCAGACCTTCAGATTCTTTTCCAATTGTAGTCATGTCTAGTTTGCCTTACCTGGAATAGCTCTGTACCATCAGCAGGTTTTGGTGTGTCACTGTTGCCTGTCTCCCCCTTTCTCAGCCCTTTTATGGGGATATCGAACTGCTCAAGTTCCCAAGACAGGTTAATCTGCCTTCACTGAAAAAACCTGCACAGTTATTTGTACCTTTCATTTCCTATTTATAGCTAATCCTTGTGAAGTGCCTGGAGAATTTGGAATGAACTATGCCAAGAAAGCACAATTCCCTTGCACCTCCAAATACTCGAAGCCACCAACGCTTTGATATGCTGTGCTGAAAATTCCAGGAAATTTAGAGAAGGGTTGAACCCACTTGTAAATCTGACAGAAAAGCTTTAAAATTGGGTTTGCTAAATGAAACCGTTTAATTTTCTGAGCAGAGGCATTAGTAAAGCAGCGGAGTATTAATTGGCTTTGAGCATTTTGTGGCTTTTAATAAAAGTGGCATCATCCTGTGTTTGATTCAATACAGACTTTCAAAACAAGTTTACAGCAGCAGCCAGTTTGTCTCATGTCCCAGGAAGTCATACAAAGCGGCTGTGCTTCTAAAATCTCCTCTCAAATCACTGCTGTTGAAAACGCTACAGAGCATCTTGACACAGGTGACAGCCTCTGCTTCTGTATCCTCACTCATCCCTGATATCAAACTCCAAGGCACATCTCACTGTGCTGAGGGTTTATATAAAATCTGTAGGGCCTTTATTATAAAGGCTACTGAAAATGTTATACCATCAGCAGTACCAAAATTCAGCTCTGCTTCCAAAATCA